CTGACCGTCGCTCACTCTCCTGTATTCCCTGGTGTATCTGAAATGTCCAGCACCGCAGTGCACTGACCGTCGCTCACTCTCCTGTATTCCCTGGTTTCTCTTAAATGTCCAGCACCACAGTGCACTGACCGTCGCTCACTCCTCTGTATTCCCTGATTTATCTGAAATGTCCAGCACCACAGTGTACTGACCGTCGCTCACTCTCCTGTATTCCCTGGTGTATCTGAGATGTCCAGCACCACAGTGCAGTATCCGTCGCTCACTCTTCCGTATTCCCTGATTTATCTGAAATGTCCAGCACCACAGTGCACTGACCGTCGCTCACTCCTCTGTATTCCCTGGTGTATCTGAGATGTCCAGCACTGCAGTGCAGTGCCCGTCACTCACTCCTCTGTATTCCCTGGTGTATTGGAGATGTCCAGCACCGCAGTGCAGTGTCCGTCACTCCCTCTGTGTATCTGAGATGTCCAGCACCACAGTGCACTGACCGTCGCTCACTCCCCTGTATTCCCTGATTTATCTGAAATGTCCAGCACGGCAGTGCACTGACCATCACTCACTCTCCTGTATTCCCTGGTGTATCGGAGATGTCCAGCACCGCAGTGCACTGACCGTCTCTCACTCCCCTGTATTCCCTGGTGTATCTGAGATGTCCAGCACCGCAGTGCAGTGCCCGTTGAAGGCCTGCATGGCCCAGGAGCTTCTCATCGCCCCGACAGTTGATGAGCACTTGTGTGCTGTTCTTGACCGACAGTGTGAACACAGGGAGCAGGCCTGTGTTAAACTCCTCCTCTCCCCGCTTGTTCAGCTCCTCTGGGGTCATCTCCCTCTTGGGCTGGTTACGAGGGTCATGGTGCCGGCTGTGGTCTCTTTGTTACTGTTCTCTTCCTGGAGAACGCCTCCCCAAGTTATTTACTTAGTACACTGACTGAACAAGGTGTGAACCGTGGATACAATCACGACACATAGGACCCTTGTTCTACCAGAAAGACTGCTTCTCAGTCTATGGTCAGATTCCGCATGAGCACAATTTAGCACTCAGGAGTTCCTATTCTATGCAGTAATACCTATAACAGTTATTAATGATACACAGAGTCGAATACCTCTGCAGTCAGTAAGACTCAGGTAAGGCCCTTTCTGTTTTTCTCGGTTTTCAGCCAAGAGTCACCTGCCATCCGAACGATAGATCCCTGGTGCCATGACCTCTTCTGAAGCAGGCTGCACTTCCGACCATTCCCACTTGATGGACTGCTGCGGCTCTTTTTATGAATTATCTTCAGCAAAACTTCACTTGTGGCGTTGTTCACTCATTTCTACACTCTGCCAAATCACCTTTCTTTATAATGGGTACAGATGAGGACCTCTTCCAGTTGGCTGGCCAGGAACGATCTTTCAGATTCCCTGGCATCGACCAAGGAGCACATGCCCCATTGCATGGGACTGATGAAGCATCTACAGTGGGGCTCCCTCCACCCTTGGCACCTCGTTTTTTCACTAGTGCAACCTGGACTTCTCCAATACCTTGCTTGGCTCCTACATGCCACCTCCTAGAAGGGCTCAAAAGCAACCGATTCTTTTTCGGTAGAGTGAGTCTGTGTATTATCTCCACCTTCTCCGATGCTTCCTGAGTCACGCACTAGAGAGAGAGCTTCATCAGCGAGGTGAGGTGACTCGGCCAGCGTCACACAGCTCACAACAAAGGTCCTGCACGTGAACCTGGGCATCCCAGAGTGGAGCCTGTCTGGTTATCCTTCCCCACTCCAAGCACATCGACTGAATCCCAATTTATAGCTCTTTCGTTATTCCAAAACGATCCTGCCAGACAGATGCCACTGACATCTACAAGACAATGGGTTTGAGTCTGTGCTGTATTAAAGCTATGTCCATAATTCCTGGAACTGGCTGGTTTCACACATAATTTAGCAGTGAAATTGGAAAGGGGGCATAAAAATAAAATGAACTAAATCTTCTCTTTAATGACTATCATATAAACTACCTTAGAACTTTGCCAAAAATGCCATGTGAATCTGGACACGCACACAATTTCATTACTTTCTACAATAAACATTAGAGTTTTGGTTGTTTTATTTAAGTTTACAGTGGACATTTGCCAGAAGGAGCTTGTTTCACTTTAACAAACGTGATCTTGAGCCAATGTTATTAGCATTCAGCATCTACCCAACGTCAGCTCTAAAGGACAGCACTTTATCCAGTGAAGGATTATTATTTTCAAACAAACAAACAAATAAAAACTATTTCAGTGAGCATGAACTGGGATGCCTGGAAACCACTAAAATTCTGGACATGAGCAGCAATCACACACTAAATTATCAACAAAAGATTGTTTATAAATGAGGAAACTGAAGCTGATTACCAAGTTCAAAGGTGGTGGTGGTTGATAAGTGCCTGCGACTCATAGCGAGCGACCCTATGTACAACAGCCCTAAACCCTGTTCTATCCTGTGCCAATCGCACCGTCTCCGACACATCTACCCTGATTACTCCAGTGACTGAATTAATCCATCCATCGAAGGTCTTCCTCTCCTGCACTGTCCCTCTGCCCTCCCAAGCATGATGTCCCTCTCCAAGGACCGGTCCCTCCTTACAACATGTCCAAAGTATGTCAGACGAAGCCTCAGAATCCTTGCCTCCAAGGATGAATCTGTTTTCTTGGCAGTCCAGGGTACATTCAATACTCTTCTCCAGCACCACAGTTCAAAGGCATCAATTCTCCTTCTATCCTCCGTAGTCATTGTCCAACTCTCCGATGCATAGCAAGCGATTGCAAAGACCATGGCCTGCGTCACACGCACCTTAGTCTCCCCACTGACATCGATGCTCTTCAGTACTTTACTAACTAGTAATTGTCTGAAACTGGCTTGGAAACCAGCGAGGTTTTCTACTCAGAAAGAGACAGACTTCATTTTTGCACTTTACTACATCTTACCCACAATCTTCACTGATCCTTCATGAAACAGAACATATCCACAACCTCACCAGCATTTGTTGTTTGGCGCTCTGTTGAACTTTGTTACAAATGCTGGTGAGGCTGAGGAGAGACTGGAACCCTTATCCACTGCTGGTGGGAATGTAAAATGGTGCAACCACCATGGAAGGCGGTCTGACAGATTCTCAAAAAGTTGGAAATAAAAATACCATTTGACCCAAAAATCCCACTACTGGAAATATACCCTAAAGAAATCAGAGCTACCACCAAGCAAATATATGCACACCCATGTTTACTGCTGCGTTATCCACAATAACAAAGAGATGGAAGCAAGCCAAGTTCCCATCAACAAAAGAACAGAAAAACTACGGAACATTCACACAATAGAATACTACACAGCCCTGAAAAAGCATGAACTTGTAAAACATTAAACAACATGAGGGATCCTGGAGGACATCATGCTGAGTGAAGTATCTCAGTCACCAAAGGAGAAATACTGCATAACACCTCTGTTACAAAGCAGGACGGACACGGGGAGTTGGAGGTGGAACTAGGAAAAGAGCAGATAGATAATGAACACTGCACTGGAACAGATGAAGGACAGAACTGTTTAAAGGGAATATATGATTGTTCTATTTTATTATCTGCACGACCACAGTCCAGAATAAAAGGTGCATCGCCAGGTGGACTGGGGGAGGGGGAGGAATCGACAAGAAGTGAATGAAAAGCCAACTTTTCTTTCTGTAAACGTTAGTTAAAATCACAATTTTAAAAAGAGAGAAAAGAAACCTATCCATGCTGCCTATAAATCGTCTGCACTTTATTCAGTTCTGCCTTTTTGTTGATTTAGTTTCAACAGTGTGGTAGGTACTAGATGCAGGCTCGAGGTCTCGGCAGCTCCGAAAGCGCAGCTCGCAAGCCTGGTGGTGTGTTCTTCTCACGAAGGATGCTTCCACTTCCCCACTCACCTGGGAAATCATGGTTGATCTCGTCCATTTCCAGCACAATGTCATACGGCACTCCAGCCTCAGCCAGCAGCACATTCAGCTGACCGGGCATCCGGCCCGCCACTGGGTGAATTCCAAACCTGCACATGAAACAAACCAACAGCTGGCCTTACTCGACGGGCTGGACCGGACAGAGAGACCCCAACATCACTTCCCAGTCGGCACACGCTGTTCTTGGCACCCCTGATTCTTCTGGTGCTATCTAATCTCTAGTGGCAGAAATCTAATTAGTCAAGATACACGGTCAATCTACAAATATTAAAGCTGGAGACTTGATATTTAAGAACACAGATACTTCAACGTCTCTAAAGGGGAAAATGTCATTTTAGATCCTGTCTCTTCCACATGCGTTTCAAATAAACAGCCAACAATATTCATGAGTAATAGCACTTTACATTTAATAAGCGTTAGGATTTCTCAAGGGACTTTCTGACAAGTCTTGACTTTCTGACAAGTCTTAACTTTTTTGAAAATGTATGTACATGACGCCTCCTTGACAATCAACATTATTCCACAAAAGGATGACATTCAGCTAATCACTATGTTCAAAGGTAGGGAAATATTGTCATATGCACAGTGTCAAAGGCCTGCACTCTTTCAGAGAGAGATAATAGAGTATTACTCCACATCACAGGAGAAATCTGATAGTAACACAATGGAATATTTCAAAGGGAGAACAAATAACATACAAATCAGAATTGGAAAACCAGAGTAAGTTGTAAAACAGCCCAGTGGTAGATGGAATTTGCTCCAGGACTTAAGAACCATAAATGACATAGCTGAGCCTCTAC